CATTGCTCATTCTTGGTCCAAACAAGACACAATTCTGTGGGAAAATGAAAGCAACTAAGTTGGTCCATGCATGCGTTTGGGAGTAGGGTACAGAAAGAATGGCGGCAAAAGGACAGTCTGACAAAATGGCGTCTGTCACTGAAGTGTGTATGAAGCAAAGGTGTACCGCTGAATTCTTCTGTTTGGAAAAACGGCACCCACTGACATTCATCAATGTTTGCTGAACATTTATGGACACTAAACAGTGGCTATGAGCACAGTGAGGCAGTGGGCAGTGTGTTTAAGCACTGGTGACAGCAACAGTGGGTCACCTCCACTGCCGCATTTTTATGAGCATGGCACGCAGGCCATGTTCATCACTGGTGAAAACACACAGCTAATGGTGGTGACTACGCTGAGAAACACTTTTGTAGCTGAGAATTTGCTCTATCAAATAGTGTTACTGTGCTTTTTCTATCTGTAGTAGTTCTCATGGAAATAAATAGGAAGTATTATTTTCAGTGCAACCTTTATAGTATTGGTCATTTTTGACACACAGCACTTCAGCACTGAAACCAAATGTTCCACTGGTCTTTTCACAGACCGAATATGGCAACAGTAAGGTTGAGTGACTGTGTAGATTCTAGGCTGAGATGGGAGAAGGAGAAAAAAAACTGCCCAAACCTCTCAAAATCCTCCTGAGAAGTTTTTCTTGAATCCCTTATTCTAACTCATGAGCTGCTGGTATTATTTAGAAAAGGCAAAAAAAACCACTGCAGGGCAGCTATAAAAGAGGGAGAAAAAAGGCTATCTTTACTGGCAATAAACGAAATTAATTTTCCCTAAGTCAGTTGCATTTTGCCTGTGATGGTAACAGTGAGAAATCTCCCTCCTTTCACCTCAACCCGTAAGATTTTTTGTCTTATTTTCTTCCCCCATCCTGTTAAGGAGGAGGAAGTAGTTGGCAAGGTGTTTGGCAGAGAGCCACAGTTAACCCACTGCACATGAGTCTTACAGATCAGTCCTAATGGCTTATTTTATGCTTTAAACTAGAATTCTAATTTAGTTCATATGAAATCTGAAGCGGCACCAAGAATGATGCTGGTCTATACATAATTTAGCAGATTTTATATGGAGAAGATATTGCTTTATACTGTTACAGCCCTACAGAGATTTGGAAAATACATAACACATCAATTACAACAGTCATGCGGCTTCACAAGGGCAGACCCTACTGCCATCCCTCTTTCATTGCAGCCTAGGATACAGTTGGCCTTCTGGACTGCAAGACTACTCTGCTGGCTCACATCCAGCTTTTCACTCACCAGGACCCTCAAGTTCTTCTCTGCAGGGCTGCTCTCAGTGAGTTTTTCCAGTCTGTAGACATCTGAAATTGCCCTGACCTAAGTACGATACCTTGCACTTGGCCTTGTTGAACTTCATTAGGTGCATATTAGATTACAGGAGGTCCAGAGAAGGGCCACAAGGACAATGAGAAGGCTGAAGCAGCTCTCCTACAAAAACAGGCTGAAAGAGCTGGGGTTGTTCAGCCTTGAGAAGGCTCCAGAGAGACCTTATTGCAGCTTTTCAATACTTAAAAAGTACTTAAAGAAAAGGAGAGTGACTTTTTACAAGAGCATAGCCACAGCACAAGTGGCAATGGTTTTAAGATAGAAGAGGGTAGGCTTAGATTAGGTCTTAGGAAGAAATTCTTTACAGAGGCTGCTGAGACACTGGAACAGGTTACTTAGAAAAGTATTCAAGGCCAGGTTGGCTGCAGCTTTGGTCAACTTGGTCTAGTGCAAGATGTCCCCACAAATGGCAGGGGGACTAAAATGAGATGGTCTTTAATGTCCCTTCCAACTCAAACCATTTTGTGATTCTGTTCTATAAATTATAATATATACTGCATGTACAATGAGGATCCATAGAAGGAATCAGGTGGTTTTCAAAGCATGTTTCTTTCTCATCCAGCTTTCAAGTATGGAGGCTTAACTAAAAAGATGGACAGATATTCCCTTCCAGTCCTGATGGAAGTAACAAAACAGGACATCGCAGACATTAATGATTCTTGCTTTCATCTACTAACACACCTGATAGAGGAGTTACCCTTACTTTAGCATATGAAAAAGAGACAGATTAATTTAAAGCCATAACTGACAGTGTTAAGTCAGATGGCTGAAGCAAACATAGGAGCGCCCATGCAATCCTTTTGCTGACAATCCAACAGGTGGTGTGCCAAGCAGCTAACGCCTTATTGAACAAGCAAAAGGACAATGACATTTTCCAGAGACTCTCCTGCTTGTATTTCAGTCACAATAATGTACATTAAGAAGGAATAAAGTAAATAAA